AATCGGGCTTTTGAGCGCATGCGCTAAAATAAACCTCCCCCCGAAAATAAGCCCTCCCTGAAAATATTTAATCGCAGAGCTGAAAATCAGGTAAGACAGCAAGAGGAACCCCATCTTGCTCCACGCGCCCCAAAATAATAAGACCTCCCTGAAAATAAGGTCAAGGGCTTATTTCGGGGTTCAAACAAATATAAGACAGGGTCTTATTTTGGGGAAAATACAGTATTTATTTATTAAACAAATTTATATTGCCATCCAATTCATACATAGGTGACTCCGGGTAGCTTACAGCATTTAAAAAAAAATAATCACATAATAATAATTTAAAAAAACCTACTCCACCACCCCACGGAAGCAACAATGCAATCAAATCAGCCACAAATTCAGATTGGCTTTGTCTCCATTTATGGCCTCCAGGGCTGCTGACAAAAAACACATTTTTAGGGCTTTTTTTAAAAAAATTGATTTATATGCCGCCCTTCTCCAGAGACTCAGGGTGGCTTACAATGCGCTAAGCAATAGCCTTCATACTTTTGTATATTTATACAAAGTCAGCTTATTGCCCCCACAAACTTGGTCCTCAATTTACCTACCTTAGAAAGGATGGAAGGCTGAGTCAACCTTGAGCCTGGGGAGATTCAAACTTGCAGTAATTGCAGGCAGCTGAATGTTAATAACAGGCTATTAGTCTGCTGCACCTCCAGGCTCTTCTTTTTGGAAGAACAACAGAACGGAAGCCAAGCATACCTCATGAAATGTATCCCAAAACACTACAGTATTTATTTTCTACATGCTGTACCTTTTTGAACCAAAGATGGGTTTCAGCACGTTCTGACCAGTTCTGGAGAACCGGTAGCGGAAATTTTGAGTAGTTTGGAGAACCGATAGTAAAAATTCTGATTGGCCCCGCCCCCATCTATTCTCTGCCTCCCAAGTCCCAGTTGGTCAGGAGGAAATGGGGAATTTTGCAGCAACCTTCCCCTGGATTGAGGAGGGAATGGAGATTTTATAGTATCCTTCCCCTGCCACGTCCACCAAGCCATGCCACGCCTACCAAGCCACGCCCACAGAACCGGTAGTAAATATTTTTTAAACCCACCACTGCTTTGAACATATATTTTTTGTTTATAAGACGCTGGAACCCGTTCGTGGAGTTTCTCTGTGTTAAATACAATAATGGATCGTTAATGGAGGGCTCTGAAGATTAGCTTATTTTGGGGGGATATCAATTAATAGGGGTTTTATTATAACTAACAGATATTGGGCCAACAGGATTGATAGACATTAGATATAGTTGAGATATTTCTTAAGTAACTGTGATGTAAAAATAGTAATATACTAGTCATACAGATGAGAAGGTTCATAATTATTTGTAGGGCCAATGCGCAATGGCACGGGGGGGGGGGATATGCTAGATTTATTTCAAATAATTTTTTCAACACTCAACCAGGGTGGACAATGTATGTTTAATGTTGATTCCAGATATGTTGGGTGCGCTTCTTTATTATCTTTTTTTTTCTTTTTTCTTTGTAATTTTTGTATTTTTTTTTAACCGTCTTTGTAGTTGTTCCTTTTATATGCATTGTCTTATCTTTGAAATAAAAATTTGGAAAAAAAAAAAGAAAAAGAAAACATATATTTTGGTAACTTGAGTATATCAATCCAATGTTCATGATGGAAAGCCTTTTATTGCAGGAGGATGTGCTTCCAAGATAACACACCGACAACTGCCATCCAGATTTTATTTCACGGGTGTCAAACTCGATCGCTTCACGTGACGGTATCACGATGTTGCCTTTGCGGAGCCGGGGTGGGCGTGACCTGCGCAGGATGCATCCGTCCCGTGGGTCACCTGTTTTGACAGGCCTGTTCTTCTATTTCATAACATCTTGAGTCAACACTTTCTTCATTTTACAACTCTGAGAAGAGGAAAAAAAACAACCCCCACCATTCTCTCCTTCTGTTGCCATTGCGTTTCAAGATGAAAACTTCCTATATAAACAGGGCAAACTTTCAACTTGAGTTCCAGCAGCCCTCCGAGGACCTGCGAGTGGAGGCAGACCATTTTTCTTCCACCCAGAGAGGACAATTATTTCCATACGAACTCCGCTTGTCTTTCCTCGCAGCTTTGTTTTGCTAAAAGAAGACAGATGACTACTTGGGCAACAAAATAATTCTAATAGGCAAATAAGGGTAAAGTGGGCCGCTTTCCGAACAAGGGGCTATAAAGAGCGCTCATTTTTTTACTGCGGTTAATGTGAAGCAATTTTTCCCTAATTACCTTTGTAAACAATAAATGGCAATAATTTAGCAACTCGGTTCATTCCATTAGCTAAAAACAAAGTGGGTGTTATCTCAGTCTCTCTCTCTCTCTCTGTGTGTGTCTCTCTCTCTCTCTTCATGTATTATTCTCCATCGAAATATGTTTTACGGCTTCTCAATTTAAATCACATTATTGGCTAAAAGCATATTACGCTAACATTTGAGCTGATGTGTCTTTTTTTTTAAAGTGCCCAAACCATAAAAATAAGTTAAACCAGCAATTATTATTTATGAAATAAGAACTGTGTTTCATATGCATAATTATATGCAAGAGTATTATTTAAGCACTTCTAATCCTTAAACCGCACTCAGTCTGTTGCAGCCCGTTGGCCACTTCGCGACAAGCCAAATGTTCCAACGGTTATGAAGAAATACGAACTTTAGAATTAATCTACTTTCAAGCCGATCTTAAAATTGGCAGTAAAGAAGAAAGGCTGACCTAAAATATACTAGATTTAGATTGACTCTGACACGGAAGACAATAAAGCTAAAATTAGAGGAGAACGAGTTGAATACTTAATTCTTTGAAACAGTGATCTTGTTTAAATAAAGATTTCGCTCCATGCATCATTTTCAAAAGGAACGAGAAATAAAATGGCCCTCATAGCATTGTCTTTATTGTATTAAACACCTGGGAATAATTACCACGAGAAAAATGTTCCCATTTTGTAGAAACAAGTGTGTCAAATTCTACAACTCTGGTTATTTTTTCTTTAAGCAAAGTGTATGACAGTATTTATGAGTCTCTGGCAAAGAAGAAACATGAAAATAAATGTGGCTTCAAGGCTGATATATACACATTGAGTGTTCTATTTATGGGCCTAGGACAGTGTTGGCGAATCTTTTCGGCACCAAGTGCCAAAATGGGAGCACGCACGTGAGTGCCGGAAACTGGAAGACCAGCCACCTGGTGCACATGCGCGTCCTGGGAAGATGATCTTCCGGGTTCCAGCACACATGTGCATGCAAAGAACAGCCGCCCGGCGCACATGTGCACGACGGAAACCGGAAGAGCAGCTGCCAGGTGCAAATGAGCATGCCAGAAACTAGAAGATCATCTTCCTGGCATGCACATGCGCACCGGGCAGCTGAGCTTCTGGTTTCTGGCACTTCCGCATGTGTGAAGACCAGCTGGCTGGCGCTCCGGAACCTGGAACAGCAATGGGTGATGGCTTGTGTGCCTGGAGAGATGGCTCTGCGTGCCATAGGTTCACCATCACGGGCCTAAAACTGAAATATCTTAATTATACTGTCAAGAAAGTGGTAAAATGTCTTCGAAACACCTAACTGGATGGACTGTCTCTGACCTAAAGAGATGCTCTGGACCTATTTCAGTCAAGATTCAGTTCAGGATATGGGACAGAAATGCACTGCTCATGGTTTTAGATAGCACAGGTGGATGCATGTTATATAGTCTACTCACTCAGTGGCTTTTGATACAATTGGCCATAGTATTGAAGATTGGGGGGGGTGTCGCACTGTGTGTGCTGTCCTGCTCACTCAACTTTCTCTCTCTCACTCACACACACACATAATGGTGGTTTAGTGTGTTTATTAATATCCCCCCCAGCAATTCCCTTCACCAAAAGCTCAGCCAAAAACAGACCCATGCTAGTCCACAGAGCAATGGCCAGAGTCCACAATACCCTTGAAAGGTTCCCAAACAAGATAAACCCACCAGGCAAAATTAAATACAACATGTTGATTCTGTAAACCGCTTAGAGAGATCTGTAAAGCACTATGAAGCTGTATATAAGTGCCATTGCTATAAATATAGATGATATATAGATGTGTGTACGTGTATTGTTTGTATATGTGGTACACAAACGGTCAGTTCCAGTGTTGTCTTTTAAGCAGATGGCACTATCTCCGTGGTTCCTGCTGGAAGGATAAGCAGCAGCAATGTCCAGGGAGGCCTTTTGCCCAACTACAACATTTTTGGGGGTGGAAAGATAGCAATAGCAATAGCACTTAGACTTATATATCGCGTTACAGTGCTTTACAGCTCTCTCTAAGCAGTTTACAGAGTCAGCTTATTGCCCCCAACAAATTGGTTCCTCATTTTACCCACCTCGGAAGGATGGAAGGCTGAGTCAACCTTGAGCCTGGTGAGATTCGATCTGCCAAATTGCAGGCAGCCGGCAGCCAGCAGAAGTAGCCTGCAGTACTGCACTCTAACCACTGCGCCACCGTGGCTCATGATCTTGCAACAATGATTTCTTGCCATATCAGCCCAGATCATTGCTTCATATTGCTTGCATATAACATTTTTCCATTCTTTCTAAAGTTAAGGTAGTTAAAGTAATTCCAAAAAGATTTGACTAATGCAAAACGTACTAAAAAGCTATTATATATTCTATTTTGGAAACCACGACTGCTATTTTTTGCCACTTAAAACTGCCTTAATGACGATTGGCATAAACTATGGAATTCATACTTAGGTGAAAATTGTCTTGCATTTATAATATCAATGCCGAAGATATGCTGGGAATGGGAAACAAAATGATTGCATATTCTTAAGAAAAGGTACATATATATATTTCCAGAGTTTGAACTGCTCACATTTCAAGATGGATTGACACGAACGTATTGAAGGGTGAGTGTAGGATGGGTAGGGGAGTTCATTTACATTGGATTGCCAAATGAGGACCAAATAAAAGCAGCCAATCCAACAAAGCTTTCCCCAAAATATCATCAAAACATTATTTTTATTGTACGAGTGAAACTTTTCCCCATCTGTTTTTTTTTTTGCTGTTTTATCTATTCCATCTGCTTTGGTTTCCAGTCCTATACAGTAATAGGGCTTCTGTGCAATGAAACAGAAAAGTAATTTGCATTGGGGAGTGGGGGAAAAGAAGAGACCGAGAAAGGGAGACAGAGAGACAGAGACTCCAATCTTCTTCCATTATCAGATTCGCTTGAACTTTCCAGAAAACCAAATGAACTGCGGTCCCGCAAGGATTTTCAGTATCTAGGACGGATACCCACAGATTTCAATTAGCGGCTCACACGCAGCCAGACAAAATAAATTGATTTAGCATCTCATTCCTCTACAACCCAAATCTCAACGAAGGGTACCTCCTTCCCCCTTCACCCCCTCGACAGCGCGTCATCCGCAAATATCAGTTGCCGTAATGGACTATCACGTAAATCAAATAATAGCTACTCCGCTGTAATCACATCGGGCCACGGCAATAGCATGTTTCAATGGTTATCCACTGGAACTCATTAAGAAAGCATTATGTAAAGTAAATTAAAATGCTGGGGGCCTACGATCCGCAGACAAAGAGATGGCAAGGCTTATCGTAGGTATGCCATGGACTTCTCATTAGCGGAGCCTGCAAAAGGCATTGTCCTTTTGGAGCAGGTCGCAAAGCTCTAAGGATATTTTGGTTTCCTAATGAGAACCGCAGAGCCAGGGATACTGCAAGCAGGGCAGAAGGAGCTACCACAAGGCATCGGTAAGCCAAATATGAAAGTAGGCAGGCAGTTTGGAAAGATAAAGGAGAATATTTGTGGCTCAAGGTTGAAAGGAGGAGCCCTTGGTGCTCTCTGAGCTTGGTTGTTTTCTTACAGACGTTTCATTACCCAACTAAGTAGCATCATCAGTTATGTTAGTGTGGGTAAAGAAACATCTGCAAGGAAACAACCAAGCTTGGAGAGCACCGAAGAGCCCTCAGTTTGGAAAAAAGTAACTTAATGACTCCTGTGTTGTTCACGTTATATAGGTTAGTCCTCAACGTACAACCGAAATTGAGCCCAAAATTTCTGTTGCTAAGCGAGACAATTGTTGAGTGAATTGCTCCCCATTTTACGACTTTTCTTGCCACAGTTGTTAAGTAAATCTCTGCAGTTATTAGGTGATTAACACGGCTGTTAAAGAAATATGGCTTCCCCATTGACTTTGCTTGTCAGAAGGTTGTCAAGGGTGTCGAACTCAAGGCCCGGGGGCCGGATTTGGCCCATGGGGTGCTTAGATCTGGCCCGTGGGCCCACCCTGAAAACAGCGGACTGGACCGGCCCACAGTGCCTCTGCGAGCGAAAAGGGAGCTTGGGAGGGCCACGATGGCCTCCTGCAACTCCGGGCCAGCAAAAATGGAGAACAGGGAGGCCACGCACAGCCCTCCCGAGCTCCGTTTTCGCTGGCAGAGGGCTTCAGGAGGCTGTTGCAGCCGAAAACGGAGCCTGGAAGGGCCGTCGTGGCAGAAAATGGAGCCTTGATGAGTGACATCGAGCTGGCCACGCCCACCCTGGCCCCCCAGAAGTCGAGCACAATTCTGATGCAGCCCTCAATGAAATAAGAGTTTGGACACCCCTGTCATAGGTGATCACATAACACCGGGACACTGCAAACCGTCATAAATACGAATCAGTTGCCTAGTGTCTAAATTCCGACCACGTGACCATGGAGATGCTGCAACGGTCCTCCGTGTGGAAAAAAAATGGTCATAAATCACTTTTTTCAGTGCCACTGTAACTTTGAATGGTCACTAAATGAACTGCGCTAAGACCTGCAATGGTGGAAAACCTATCTGGTTTCCTGGTTATACTTTCCTCCATTTCAGTGTTAAATTTAAAAGATTAAATGGTTAACATAATCCTGCGTAAAGAACTCAGGAACCATATTCAAAGAACTGGCACATGGCTCGGCTTTTTCTGTTACTGCTTCCTGTTTTTGAGCAGCGTTCCTCCTAAGATTAGGCTGGCACCAATCCTGATGGGTTTAGGAAAACCTTTAGACCCCAGTTCTTCCAGAAATCCTTTGCAATCTGCTACAATTGGATTTCTCCTGCGGTAAAGGTTATGGTTGCATGGATTTTAGTTCCCGGGTGTATTATCTCCTACAACACAGAACAACATTTACTGTTTTAATATTCTACTGTAAGTGGGAAATGAGAGATGCTTAGAATTGATTGAACCACCTAAGTAAGTAAATAAGTACGTTCCCACAAAAATGTCTCCAGTTTTAATGCCGGACAACTGGATCAGTTTAAGCGTCTAAAATTACCTAACCTCAATAACGTCTCTGCAAACACTTTCCCCCTCTAATTGACTGACATTCCTTTACTGGCATCCCCACTGCCAAGAATATCTTCCCAGCAAAACTCCAATTTTCAATCATCCAACTCATTGCCCGTATGCCACAATGTGACCTCCTAAACAGACTTGTATTCCACCACATCTGCCTTTGCCAGGCTGCCAACTTATAAATATCCCGTGTTCGGTTTGCTTACTGAACAAAAAGCCACAATCGGCCCTTGCGCATTCATTGTTTTTGGGTTTCAGATACTGGAAAAACAACCAATTTCCTCTCCAAAATTTCTTAGCTTCTGCATTGGTCATTTAATTTGAATGGGGCGAGACTTTAATGCTACTGCAAATAGCAGCAAGCATGAATACATCAGATTTTTCTCTTATCGAAAGCAGAATCATTTAAATGGTGAAGACAAGCATTTAGAAGTTAAGTTCACAAAGCAAGAAACGCTCTAGACCCGTGATGGCGAACCTATGGCACACGTGCCACTGGCGGCACGCAGAACCATATCGGTGGGCATACGAGCATTGCCATAGTTCAACTTCAGCGTGCGCAAGCTGATTTTCAGGCCTTTCAGGCCCACCGGAAGTCGGGAAACTGGCTGTTTCCGGCCATTGGAGGGCCTCCAGGGAGTTGTGGAAGGCCTGTTTTTCACTCTCACCAGGCTCCTAGAAAGGCTTTGGAGCCTAGGGAGGGTGAAAAGCAGGCTTACTGGGCCCACCGTGCCATTGCGTGCCAAAACCAGGGGGAGCATGGGGAGCGGCTTGGCGCGCATGCACGGGGATTACGCATGCATGGGTGGGGGGGCAGGGTGCATTGAATTATGGGTGTGGGCACACGCACGCGGGCCACTCCCCGCTCCTCCCACTTTTGGGACATGATGGCAAAAAGGTTCGTCATCACTGCTCTAGACCCAAGTTAACAATACACCATTGTTGTATAGGAACAGATACCGTTTTCCCCAAAATAAGACATCCCCTGATAATAAGCCCAATCGGGCTTTTGAGCGCATGGCAATAAGGCCAAGCGCTTATTTCAGGGTTCAAAAAAAATATAAGACAGGGTCTTATTTTTGGAGAAACACGGTAGTCCTTGACATACCACCACAATTGACCTGAAAAAGACAGTTTGCCGCATTTTATGATGTTTCTGATCACAGTTGTTAAATGAACCACTGCAAATTGTTAAGTTAGTAACACAGTTGTTAAGTGCACCTGGTTTTCCCATTGCTTGTCAGAAGGTTGCAAAAATTGAATCAGAAGACCCCCGGGGCACTACAACTATCATAAATATGAACCTGTTGCCAATAACCATGGGGATGTTGCAATGGTCATAAGTGTGAGAAGCGGTCACAAGTCACTTTTTTCAGTACCGTTGTAACTTCTAAATAAATGGTTTTAAGCAGAGATGCGTTTCAGCAGGTTCTGACCAGTTCTGGAGAACCGGTAGCGGAAATTTTGAGTAGTTCGGAGAACTGGTAGTAAAAATTCTGACTGGCCCCGCCTCCATCTATTCTTTGTCTCCTAAATCCCAGCTGATGGGGAGGAAATGGGGATTTTGCAGTAACCTTCCCCTGGATTGGGGAGGGAATGGAGATTTTACAGTAACCTTCCCCTGGATTGGGGAGGGAATGGAGATTTTACAGTATCCTTCCCCTGCCACGCCCACCAAGCCATACCCACAGAACCGGTAGTAAAAAAATTTGAAACCCACCACTGGTTGTAAGTTGAGGAGAACTGAATAGTTGAGGAATGGTTGTAAATTGAGGAATGTAGTTAAGGAATGGTTGTAAGCTGAGGAATGTAAGTTGAATGTAAGGTCACCAAATGAATGGTTGTAAGTTGAAGAATGTAGCTCTCGGCTTAATATCTGGTTGAAAGTTACGATGGATCCTGAAAAAAAATGACTTATGAACGGGATCTGAAGTTCTAACATCACCCCCCCCCTGTGATCACATGACCACATTTGGGTGCTTAACAACCAGCTGGTTCTAACTGTGATCATAAATTGAGGACATCCTGAAGTACAGATCTCTGAGAGATGGATCTAGCCTAGGTTTAAAGACTTTCTTCGGTGAGCGAGAATCTATCATTTGTTCAGCCCTTGTCTTCTATTACTAAACATTTCTTATTGTGAAGAAAAGACATTCCTGATGCCCATTTGGTAATTTATGTGGTCTGTGGCAGTGGAGACTGACAAGGCTCTGTGACGGATAGGTTTGCTCTACTCCATGGAGTCAGAGGGGCAGGTCCAACTAAATGTAGGCTTTGCTCCCTCTATACATTTCAGAAATCTCATTCTGTCAAGGCGAAATGCCACATATGAAACCCCTTGGACAAGGAGAACATGCTTTCCCCTCCGACAATCACAATATTAACTCTGCCCAGTAGCATTTCTGTATTAGCTTTGGACTTGCTCCGAACATGGCAACACAGGGATCATCGCCACGGTTCAGCAAGTCTTTGATTTCCCCCGGTGACAGCACTTTTGAAGGCCATCACTCATTCTGGGTTAAATTGAAAACACATCAACAAGCTAGCTTGGAGGTGGTGGGCATCTCTTTAATTATCTGCACCCCTTTTTAACAAAGCTGATGCCACAACTGTTTGGTGCCTTTCCCTCACCTTTGGAAGGGAGAGAGGGGGTGGAAAGGAGGGAAAAGAGAAGAAAATCTATCTTCCAAGAGTCATTTGAAGCTGTCACCTAATATATAATCTGGACTCATAAAGTCTGCCAAGCAGGGAAAATTTAGACAAGGGCTTCAAGTAGTCAAGGGAAGAAAGGTTAAGGGCTGTTTTTTTTTAAAAACACAGGGAAAACATGAAGGAGACCATAACAAGCCAAGGAAAATAGCATTCCACTCATCGTACACAGCAATAGTTGATATATCCGCTGGAGACATTGGATGACACTTGAGGGCAGGACAAGAACAACAGATGGAAGCATGTCAAAGGGAGATCCAATCTAGAACGAAGGAGAAATTTCCCTGACAATGAGAACAATTGACCAATGGAATGTCTTGCAGTGAAGGTTGTGGCTGCTCCATTGCTGGAGGTTTTCAAGAAGAGATGGGACAGCCATTTGTCCGGAATGATATAGGGCAGGAGTGTCAAACTGGATTTCTTCGAGGGTGTTATGACCAAGAAGGTATTATCAGACGCAATCAGTTCGAAAACAAACAGACTTTATTAGAACAGCTGAGAATTAACTCATTCTCAGCATGGTCCAAACCAGGATGGATTTGATTTAAATAGAGTTGATTTAAATCACGATTTAAATCATGATTTAAATCACTAGTAAAAGGGCTTGATTTAAATCAACTCGATTTAAATCATAATTTTTAAAGAGCAACTGTCATCTCTGCTACTCCTTTGACCCACTGTTGACTCACCGATAGTCCCAGTGTTGCAGAATATACAGCCTCATGCTACATAACTAAGCTCCATTTCATGCTGAATAAACTAAATATGTATCTTAAATAGAAAACTATCTTACGATAGATTTTTACCCCAAAAGTTTTTTATTAAAATAAATTCGATAAAAATCAAAAAAATCCGATTTAAATCAAAAAAATCTGATTTAAATAAAAAAAATCTGATTTTTTTGATTTTTTTAAAAAAAATCATTGATTTTTATCCACCCTGGTCCAAACTAATTCAAAACAAATTCTTCATAACACAATTCTTCAGCCTTATCACCAACCTGGGTCTCATTAGGCAACCTGCCGAAGGCTTTTCTTGGCAAAAGTTCAGAAGCAGAAGACGCCGACAAGAAATAAATGCAGCAAGACGAGAAACAAATCTATCAATGTTGTTTTCTGACAAAGAGCCCAAGAGCTGTTGCTGGTCTTTTAAGCCTTATGGAAGGGGCCAATCATCTCTTGGCATTACTCCCGAGTCGTCCTTTTTGCTTTAGCTGCTCTTGCCTTCTGGCAGTTCTTCTCATGTGTGCACTAGGAACAGGCTCCTCCTGTTCCTCTGCCTCTCTAATGTCATCCTCTGGAGGCTCCGGAGTCTGCACATCACTCCCGGATGGCCCTGGCCCCATCTTTGCCTCCGATGCAGAGCCCTCATCTGGGCCTTCCCCAGCGCATGTTCTTCCTCAGCCTCCTCACTGTCCGACTCCACTATCAGCTCCGCAGGCTGCTGGCGGACCACAACAGAGGGCCGGATCATCATTGTAGTTCCACCAGCAGGGGGAACGGGATGGGGTGGATGCCTCCTGCAGCACCCTGCTGGTTAAAATGGGACACCAGGGCGGGGGGGGGGGCTCAAGTGGCCCTCTGTACCATTTTTGGCCTGGACGGCCTTCTGCAGCACCCAGAGGCACCACAGGCCAGTCCTTTGCCATTTCCAGGTCGGCCCCATGGGGCAGATTTAAGCACCCCGTGGGCCATATCTGGCCAATGGGCCTTAAATTTGACACCCCTGATATAGGGTCTCCTGCTTGAGTAGCGGGTTGAACTAGAAGACCTCCAAAGTCTCTTCCAACTCTGTTATTCCATATTCTGATTTGTCTTGTTTGAAGACTAATCCAGAAGACAACCCCGGAAAATGTTCACTAAGACAGGAATCCTGGCTTCATACAGAGGATCAAGTCCAAAAACAGCAAAAACAGGACATCCCACAGATCTCTCTGCTTCAGGAGGTGGTTGAGGTAACAATGAAGACGGAGGTTAACTTATATTTCTATATTTTTATAAAAAGAACAAAAGGCTTTATTTTGTAACAGATGACAATGCCAACCCTCCTTGTTTGAACACAGAAAGACCAAGCAGGGTTGAATTCTGTTAACATTTTGAAGGGAGGCTACTAGGAAATATATTTGATTGGAAAACCGGATGAAAAAACATCCTTCAAAAAAAGCGAGGACAGCCATCTTCATTTTGTTGCTGTGAAAACTGAATGCTATCTCCCTGCAATCCCAAGGAGAGCTCAACTTGAAACAAGTGGATTAAAAAGTATTTTATTATTACCCACTTCAAAATGGATGGGAAATTACAAGTTTGGATTTTGGGCAATTGTAGTCGTGGCTTGGTAGGCGTGTTGTGGCTTGGTGGGTGTGGCAGGGGAAGGATACTGCAAAATCTCCATTCCCACCCCACTCCAGGGGAAGGATACTGCAAAATCCCCATTCCCTCCCCACTCCTGGGAGAAGGATATTGCAAAATCTCCATTCCCACCCCACTCTGGGACCAGCCAGAGGCGGTATTTGTCGGTTCTCTGAAATACTCAAAATTTCCGCTACTGGTTCTCCATAACCTGTCAGAACCTGCTGGATTTCACCCCTGGTCAAGAGGCTTTGAGAGGCTCAAAAATGGTTTCAGGGAAGAATGAAACGAGGAATCTGCATATGGACGGGAGGTTGAACAGCTAGTGCCTTTTGGTGCAACCAGAACAATCTTGAACTAAATATACTCAAAACCGTAGAAATGGTGGTGGATTTTAGAAGAAAACCTCCTATACTACCACCTCTTACAATACTAGACAACACAGTATCAACAGTAGAGTCCTTCAAGTTTCTAGGTTCTACTGTATCTCAAGACTTAAAATGGACACCTAACATCAAAAACATCATCAAAAAAGCTCAACAAAGAATGTTCTTTCTGCGCAAACTGGGAAAGCTCAAACTGCCCAAGGAGCTGCTGATCCAGTTCTACAGAGGAATTATTGAGTCTGTCATCTGCACCTCCATAACTGTCTGGTTTGGCTCTGCAACCCAACAAGACAGACACAGACTTCAGAGGATAATTACCAACCTGCCTTCCATTGAGGACCTGTATACTGCACGAGTCAAAAAGTGGGCTGTGAAAATATCTACAGACCCCTCACATCCTAGACATAAACTATTTCAACTCCTACCCTCAAAACGATGCTATAGGGCACTGCACAGCAAAACAACTAGACACAAGGAGAGTTTTTTCCCGAATGCCATCACTCTGCTTAACAACTAATTCCCACGACACTGTCAAATAATTTACTAAGACTGTATTACTATTATTATTCTCTTCCTTACTAGTATCTATCTCTTCCCACTTATGACTATAACCATGTTGCTTGTATCTTTCAATTATATTGTTTTTATTTGTTTCCTAGTAAAATTTGATATCTTATTAGTAACCTTGACTATCACTAAGTGTTGTATCTTTTTTATTCTTGATGAATGTATTTTATTCTCCTTATGTACACTGAGAGCATATACACTTAAAACAAATTCCTTGTGTGTCCAATCACAAATTCCTTGTGTGTCCAATCACTTGGCCAATAAAGAATTATATGCAATCCTAAAGCCTCAAATGTCTCCATAGGCCAGAAAAATAATTAGGCAAAAACCACGAGTAACTAACTACAGATTAGGCACCCTGCATACCTGCATACTATTTGTGGTTCTGGCAGCTGATTTTATCATTTAATAAAAATTTTAAAAGGAAGGTAAATTAAAGATATAAAAGAAGCTAAAAGTCACAAAATTATCTATCCATCCTCTATCATCTATCTATCTATCTATCTATCTATCTATCTATCTATCTAATCTATCTATCTATCTATCGTGCTTCTATCTATCTATCATCTACCTATCATCTATCATCTATATCATCTATCTATCATCTATCATCTATCTATCTATCATCTATCTATCTATCTATCTATCTATCTATCTATCTATCTATCTATCTATCTATCTATCTATCATCACACTTTCCAGGAATAAGCAGGTTATAAAAATGACAAGTCAATCTATTATTAAAAACTACAGCTGTCTTTCATTTTAATCTGGTTCAAGATTAAGTCTCAGTACTACAGATAGGAAAGCAAATTTTCACACAAATTCCTAAAATTATTTTTGGTAATATCTGAGAGATGCTACAACAAGTATAGAATCTACCCAGTTTAAAGACACTATTTAGGTTACTGAATCCAACTCTAAATCAAATGTAAGCATCTCCAGCAGATGGCTGTCCAGTGTCTACCTAAACACATCTAATGAGGAGATTTTAACAGTTAATACCAAAACAAGATTCCTTCCTTCCTTCCTTCCCCCTCCCTCTTTCAGCTTCTTTTCTTCCCTCTCTCTTCTTCCTTTCTTCTTTGTTTCTTTCTTTCCTTCCTTCCTTCTCCCTGCCTTTCCCCCTTTGTTTCCTTCTTCCCTTCCTGCTTCCCTTCCATCCCCTCCCTCCTTCTTTCAGCTTCCTTCCCTTCCTCCTTTTCTCTCTGATTTAATTAGAAGCTATGAAATCTCTGAAGGACCCATAATGGAGAGGACAATAAATAAGAGAGAAAAGTTTCAGTGCCCACCAACCATTGTCTGATTTTACTGTACTTGCTTTATAGACCAAAATTATTATTTTCCTTCCAGCTTCTATGAAGCTCCAAGTCACCGTAGCCAAAACTCTGAATACTGTCAAGGCTTTATAAAAAATCAGTCTTCTAGAAAACAGTGATAGCTTTAACAGATGCTTTCCCAGCCTGTCTGGAAAGTAAAGTATTCTAAGTCAAATCATGTTGGCTGTTTAAATTTTGAAAGGTACTGTGTATTAATTTTTTTTTCTCCTAAACTTCAGACAGCTGCCTTCCTCAGCCATACTACCACGCTTCCTTTCTGGCAGTTGAATCAAAACTGTAAAAATTGCTATAACTTTATTCTTATAGAAGCACAAAGTACAATTTGTTCTCTTTTTCTGGGTGGCCCAATAATAGAACCAGCATTCTTCTATTATATAAAAGCATCAGTTATTTGACTATAATCACCTCATGTCACCGAAGACGGGGAATATAACAAAATGTTCTTCAGCAAAACTAGATCATCATCCAAAACGATCTTATTTACTGAATGTGATACCAAAAATCATTCGAAATATACCTCAGAAAGAAAATGAAATCTCACATGGAAAAGCTGTTGTTGTAAAACTGTCCTCGCTCTTAAATCCGTTGTACTATTTCTATTAAAAATTTACACAATTTTATTCCATTGAATATGCCG